CTTAGAGGATTTCCCAGTCTCAGCAGCTAAACTGGTCTGTGCACAAAGACTTATTTGCTGTTGACATAGAAGTCAGATGTTGTTTTATACTCTACTGACCTGAAGAGAAGCATCAGGGCTTGGAGGAAGGTACGGAAGTTATTGTGCCGATTGATGGAGGTTTCATCATCTAACGCAATGTTCCCAAACACCTGCCACAGAAACACAAGTGATTCAGCCCAAACACATCCTCACATGGACATGGTCAGTGAAGGTGGATTAAGTAGAGTTGGAAAACAAGGCAGGAAGATAATTTGTCCTGGCTTAAGGGACCTCAAAAGCTGGAATAAATTCTGTGCTGAAGAGGAGGGTAAAATGTGCTGTGGAGATCAAATGGGCAAAACCACAAGGTTAATGTGCTTTGTATTCACAGAGACCCTTTCCAATGGTTCCATCCCAGACCAAGAAAACTTGCTCATTCTTCTCAGAAAGGTGCAGAGCCTGAGCTGCTCCCTGCTCTCAGCCTCTGGATGTGTCATACCCAGGGGAAGGGATGTCCTCTCCTGCAGGAGACACAGATGTGCACTGCTGTCCCCAGAGATGCAGTGATACAGGCTCACCCCCACAGCTGGTTTGCCTGACCACTCTTTTTGTACACCCACAACACAAAAACCTGGCAATAAGGGTAGAAGGAGTGGCCTTTTCTGTACTTCTAATTTACCTGACACCAGACAAGAAGATCCTTTCCCCTCATCCCAATCCGGTTGCTGCTCCTGCTGTGGAGGCAATAACCCATTTGCACCCTGAACAAACTCAAACTGTTTACAATCAAAATTAAATCTACAATTTTGTTTGCACCCTGAACAAACCCAAACTGCTTACAATCAAAATTAAATCTACAATTTTTACCTGCATTCCAATAATGGCATAGATGAAGAAAAGCATTGCAATGAGGAGACACACATAAGGCAAGGCCTGTGGGAAAGGAGAAGGAGGTATTAATGACAGCAAATACATAGAGCAGGCAGTAGCATTTAACTCCTGGGCAGGACTGTGTTTTGTGGCATTTGTCCTTCAGGTGAAGGAACTGGGGAGAGAATATGAACAATTCTGGCAGGTTTCAGAAGACAATTCCCTGGAGATAGGTATTCATCAATCACAAAACAGCCTGGGCTTTCCAAGGGCTCTCTATACATCCTTACAAGCAGGGAAAACACAATCCCAACCTCTGCAGTGAGGACTGGAGCTACCAGCAGGCATGGGCACTTTCTATGCATAATTGTATGGACATCAAATTTTAATGACCTTGCTGCAAATATAGTCTGAGAAAAAAAATATACATCCCAGAAACAAGTTCCTGCTCTGAAACAGGCACAGATTGCAATCCCAGGAGGACAAAATGAGTTTTAGCAAGAAATCGGTGAAGGTTTGTAATGATGTCACCCAAGCTGAGAGTGATAGCTGCTTTCCACTTGGGGTAAATGAGGAGGTAATTAATACCTCTCAATTAATAATAGCTGCAACAGTGAGAAGTCTTGCCCTAGGGCTAGTCTGTGTGATGCTCAGGGCAGGAGAGAAGTTATACAGCCCATGGGGAATCCAGCA